AGAAGATGGAGTCTGAAGAGAAGAAGAAGAAGAAGAAGAAGAAGGAGCCGAGGAGGAGAGAGAGAGAGAGAGGGGACTGGCGAGGGGAGGGAGGAGAGAGGCCTCCAACTCCTGATACCTCAGGCGGCGATGGCCGCCGGTACACTCAGTCGTCGCTGCTGCTGCGCTAATGTTGCACTGCTGCTCCTCACTGCTCCTGCGCTAAACTTAGCGCCAGCGCTGTATCGCGCTGTACCATACCGTACCGGTAGAATGCCGGTAGGTCGATAGCCTSACTGAGGCTGGACCGGTACTTTTGTACCGGTGGGCAGAGGTCGGCCTCTATGCTGCGAGGCCTGACCGTGCCCTGAACCGTACAGATGGACGGTTCAGCCCCAACCGGCGGGCGGCAGCCTCAAGAGCGACGCCAGGCCCAAACGGTAATATCGTTTGGGCCGGCCCGTCGGGTCTGGTCCAAGGTAAGGCCTTTATGGCCTGTAGTACCCCCCAAGGTCGGGCCTTTGGCCCTACTGTGTCCCTCTACCCGTACGTCGGGTCCGCTAGGACCCGTGTGGCGTCGAAGATGTAACACATTGGCAAGTTTTGGATCCCAAATTCTCCTATAGCCTATATATGCATGTGTATATGTGCGTGCATATGTGTGTGTGTGTGTGTGTGTGTGTGTGTGTGTGTGTGTGTGTGTGTGTTTTGTCTGTTCTCTTAATGATGCTCATTCATATGCATTTATTAGTACACAATGGGGGGGAGGAAGGGAAGGGGTAAGAGGCGGAGTTCTATAGGGAGTGAGGGCCAAGCCTTCCCATTCGTTTTGTGAAAGTGTTTGTGATCTGAGAAGGCCCTCCATTATTCCCTCCTCCAATAGCCTCCTCGTGGTTTCCTTTTCCCTCTCTTGCTTTCTTTGTAATGAAACCACCTCCGGAAGCTTACATCAATTTCATCATAAAAAATACTCACAATGCTCAATTAGTGACAACCAGGTTAAAGAAAACAGATGGATTCTTTTTGATAGTATTCAATGCTTCATCTCCCCTTCTCCAAAATGCTTGTGTGTTTGTTGTCATGGCATG